GTGAGTGACCGCTGAGAATATGTGGTTGTTTCCCAGGGGAAAGGGATTAGCATTACAAACCAAGGAGCGGCTCTCAGATTTTAGGGAAAGAAAAAATGTTGAATGAAATCAAATAAAATAAGGAAGGATCCAAATTTTGTTTTAATTGCTTGCTAGCTCAAGAGGAAAAGAAAAGTTTTATAATAAGAGAAATCTCTGTCAGAAATCTCTGTCATATTTTATGGTGAGTGGATTCAGAGAAAGAGAGAGGACTCTTTGAGACCTAGCGTGTGCTTTGCCATATATTCCTAGTAATCATTTCTGTGCTTTGCTCACTGGTGAGCCTGAGACATTAGAGTGAATTATTGACTCTCCTAGGGCGATATTCAGCCACGTACACAAGGTCGGCAAAAGGTGTGCGCCTCACTTAAATCCAAGGCTTAAATTCAGCCACAGCTGTCCGAAGCAGAGCACCGGTAAATATTTTCAAACCCCCTGGAGCTTTTACAGCAACTGAGGTGTGGAGTCATGGGGGGCGCTGGGAAATATTCTATAAGAATTTAAGCCCTCTTTAAATCCCACTTTAGCATAGGAATGTGCTTTCACAAGATTCACTTAAATCATTCTGCCCCTTTCTGTACGTACTCCCTTTTTTCCTAATCATCTAGATGGAGAAACAAGTCAAAATGGGGGGGGGTGCAGAATGCTTTTAAATACTGCACACTTTGGTTAGTACCTTGTTGGTTGGTTGGCTCTCTTTAAACCATCATCCAGCTGCAAAATTCAGAATCTGATCCAGTTTCTAAACTCCTGCCCAAATGTGTGGGGAGTTGGTTTAACTCATTCCAAGTATCAATACAGCCAGCTGCAAAATGTATGTCCTGATCCAGATGTGACCCTCCTAAAGTCCTGAAATGTTTGGATTGGGCACATCTCTAATTGCTTTACTATAATATATACTCAATACTTAAAGCACTATTGCAAATCCCCTGCCAGTATAAATTGGTGCAGCTCCACTCGTGTCACCAGCAGAGAATTTGACCCGGAGACATATGGGATCAAGCCCTCCAATATTTCCTATTCTCCACAATACCTCGGGCATGTTCACATTATATTTACCTGTACAGTGTTTTCATTTCTTTTACTTTATCTTCATTGATTGCGGTTAGGTCTGAAAGGCAAATGGAGCTGTTTTCCCTGCTGTAGCTATTCGCTGCTTGTTTGTTGTCTTGTCTGTAGTATTCTTCTGCAATAACCAAAAAATGATCTCTCAGAAACAAGGCAGTGTCTTTCATGCCCAAGTATCAAAATCAGACTCTGAGCCAAGATTCCGTGGGTGGTGGCTATTTTACTGGCCGATGAGGTGCACGCTGAGAATTCTGGGCCCGGTACTCAGCATCCAGGACGGATATTGACTTCCCCAGGTGCTATCCCGAAGATCAGTACAATTCTCATTTGATGGTCTCCATTTGGTAGAACACGCCCGGTGAGCTGTGTATCTGCCTGACAGACAGGAGGCCAATGAAAACCAGCATCACAGTGGTGCCCCGTGGGAATTGGGGGTTCTCTACTCTCACTCTTGGTTTGTGCTGAGGGATATCTATTGACTTTAGCGAAGTGACTCCTGAATTATCCTGGCTTACTCAATATTTAAAATATTTTTATGGTTTAGACTCAAATATTTGAGGGAAAGAAAATACCTGAGTTTGGATCTTCCCTTTCTAGCCTAAGCAGATTGATAGCCTGCATCCCAGCCTAGCCTGTCAAGGCAATAAAGATAGATCTGGATTTAGACAGGATTAATATCGATAGAACAATTATTTGCTGAAAAGAAATTAGCGTCTCAGAAACAGCTGAGATCCAATTTTAAATTACAGAAATGAGACTTTTATAGATATCAGCAATTAAGGTGTTTCTTACAGAAATAGGGTACTCTTCAGAGAACCATTCAGCCCCTGGGAATAGCTACTTGCAGTATGAACAGAAAGCAGAGAACACCAGAACATGAATGAGGAACCAGTTGGTAAGATGTGCCCCAAGCTGACTCAGACACCAGGAAGTGTGATACACACCAAAAGGAAAGAAAATTATAAGAGGGAGCAGCAGCATACCTGCCCCTGGAACGGGCTCCAACGAGGGTCTCACTTCAGCATGACTCCTCAGGGTGTCGGGGAATTTAACTGATATTTAGAATTGGACCATTTCACACAGTGCATCCAAAGAGAAATGAATAGAGCCAGTTCCCATGGAAATAGGCAGATACCCACAGGTGCGCTGATTCCAGCAGGGTCCAAACTCTCACTCTCTCTGCTAGTTTGTGCAGAGATGCCATGATTTTTAGTGGGCAAAGAGGAAGGGGAGAGTCTTCCTCCATCTACATCCCCATAAACAATTGGCCTCAAGTTAGTACAACCCTTCCTTCCACACTTTGTCTCTCGTGTCTGTTTAGATCGCACGCTCTCCGAGGAAGGGACTCTCGGGCTGTGTATTGTATAACACCAAGCACAATGGGACCCATTCTTTCAGTTTCTAGATGTTACCATAATACAAATAAGTGTGTGTGTGCATGTGTGTGCAAGCGTGAACATACATTCATTTTTATGTATGCATAGACTTTCTGTTCCCATGGAAGGGATTGCCTCACATGTGTAAATTCTACTCCAGAGGAGTAAGGATTATAGAATTAACTAATGTCATACCTTTCCTGTTTATAGCGCACACTGACTACTGCACAATGAATCGAGTCCCAGTAGCATTATACGTTTATAAGACAAGGATAAAACAGGCAACTCCTAATGGCATGATGAGCAGCAGAAGCTGCTAATACTGGAGGGGACCATTAACTTTGAGTTAATGAGTCTCATCCTCTTCTCTTTGTACCTTTACCCAGAGCATCACCAAAAGGTGCAATTTAAGGGGCAGAAGAGTTATAATAAAGCAAATCGAACAGCCAGATTGTTTTTTTGCTGTCACTGTTCAGTACCTGCAGATGGGCCTGAAATGCTGTAGGTATTGTTTAAAATGAAAATGATTCCTGGTCTTTGCTTGGACATCAAAACAGCTGTTCCAGTCAAGGATGAAAAAGCACTTCTATAGAACCAGGTACCCTGCTGCTGCTGCTTCTTTAGGAAGGAAAGTCAGTTTGTGAACATTTATATAACCTTCCACACAAAGTCAGTTATGGCATTTATAATGGCTAAAGGCATCTGAGGAAGAACACAGATTCATATTTAAAATCCAGGAGAGACTGAAAAAATACTATCTCAGAGGCTCCTGCTTCAAATGAATAATTATCACAATTAGCAGATTTGAATCTCATGGTGATGGACTGAAATTTGCATTGCATAGATCTCAGCATTGCATATCACAGCCCTTTGTGCTGTGATTTTTGTTTTATTCTGTGGTTTCAAGACAAGCGAGTCCATGGGCATGGGCACACGCACACATACATGCGCACGCCTCCCTGCAAAGCTTTGCTTTGAGTTTTGGCTTTAAATCAACTAAAAAAATCTCAAATCAGGTCCCAACTCATGTCGAGGCTTGTCCTCACAGAACCTGGGACTGAAACAACTAACCCCGTTTTCAGTCACGCCTTTAATCATTTCAGTGCAGGTCTGTGTCTCGTCTCTCTTATTGTGGAAGAAAAGTATAACTTTTGTTATATATAATTTGCATAACTGAAGTCAATAACTGACTGTGAATTACAATGGGTTTAGTTTACATATAATTAAGCCCTTGGTCATCACCACCTTCTGTTCTCAGGCTCATGCTACAGCTAGGACAAATGGAGATTTTTGTACGGTTTGGATGCAAAGCTCAGCCCCCGGTACAGTAATAGGTTTCAGTTCTTGTGCAGCAGAGCTGTCCTCTGCTGTCACCAAGCTGATGCATCTTCTACAGAGTTAATTTCTCTTTTAATGTTCTCAGTGCTATAACATACATCAGACAGATGAACAGTGTTGCTGTAAAAGATTCTGGAGGGCAGCTTTCCCTCTTCTTACGTCTTGCACTGATTACTGAGTGAATCGGGGGGCTTTGTTACTAAGGCACTAGGAGTTGGGAGACCTGTTTTCTATACGCAGCAGGACCCCAAATTTTGTGTCACCCTTGGCAACTCTTCATATGTCTGTGCTTCAGCTTCCTGGTGTGTAATAGAGGGACAGTAATGCCTACCTACTGTACTGCAGGAGTATTGTCAGGTGAAATTAATTCTATTCTTCTCTGTCTAGGTTCTTGTACCACACTCATCTCCATAGTCTCTGAGCACCGTCCAACAGTGACTACATTAAACAAAGTGACTACAGCTCTGTCATATGCTGTTTGTCCTCTCATCCTCTCCCCAAGGGGAGAAGTGCATGCAGTGGAGTGTCTTGTCAGGTTTCTTTTTTTATATACACATGTTGCTCTGTGTTTATATTAGAGAGGTCAAGGGCCAAGAAACCCGCCTTGCACTTGGGTGGAAGGTGGAGAGGTTTGGGCTGGTCCCTTAGTTCCTGGGGCAGTTCATTCCACAGTCTCAGACCAGCCCCCAGGGAAGTTCTTTCTCCCACACAGACAAGCTTTACTCTATTGTAGCAAATGCCATTGTGCTGGAAGAAAAAAGAAGTCAACTTTGGTCTTCACCCCAAAGGTTCAGGCTCTTTTAGATATCCTGGGCCCAGGCCCAGGAGCACTTTGAACATAAGGACTGAGAACTTGACCTTGATTCAAAATTCTGTGGGGAGCCAGCGAAGAGAGAAGACAGGGTGGTGTGTGCCCAGAATCCTGTGGTTCTGAGGAAGCACTCTGCAAAGCGATTTGTGACGCTCGTGTAGATGGCATTATATGAATGCAATGCAGTATTATTACTTTATTAAGCATATTAGTGCCTTAAATAAATCTGAGGGTGCTGTCTGGAGTACTAGTGCTCTAGTCCCTTCATGTGTGATTACATTCCTGACAACACAAAACCTAGGCTCTGTTTAAATCCTCAAAACGGGGCTGGTGCAGAGGCATACTGGATGTTTTATTTGTGTTTACAGGAACAAAGCGACTGCTCTGCCAGAGTCCTTATACTGTGCTCATCGAGATCCCTAGGAGACTACGGCACATCAGCCAGCAGAGTGTCAGCGAACACCCATCACAGAAGGAAAATTGATCACAAAACAGACTTGGTGCTGGCAGCCTGGGATTCTCACCCTGGGTCCTGCCAATGACATTAGTGCCAATGTAATAGAAAGATTTCCGAGCTGAGATTAGTCTTTGTTTGCATAGTCAAGTCTTTGCTAAGAAGATTGTATAAGAAGTTAATTATACAAAACCATACAGTACATTATATTCAAGTTACTTTATGGAGTAATGAACTATAACTGACATTCCTAATTGGAAAAAATGGTTCAAATCTGCTGGGAGTCAACACACTGGGAAATGTAACTAAGCGCATGCTGCAAAACCAAACAGTCTGATGAAATGACCAGACACGATTGCAAACAAGTGTTTTAAAATTGACTCTTGTTGCTTTTCGATTCCCCTCCATGTTTTCCTGTTGTACCTAATAGGAATGTAAAGCTTCATGGGCCTACCACCAGTGATGAGCTGCCAGAAGCTCAAGAACTGGTTCCTTCACTCGCTCCGGGTCTTCGGTGGCACTAAAGGACCTGCCGCCGAAATGCCACCGAAGACCCGGAGCGAGTGAAGGACCCGCCGCTAAAGTGCCGCCGAAGGCTTGGAGTGCCGCCGGGGGTCAGTAAAAATTCACATGGGAGCCTCCCCAGCCAAGAGCTCAGGTGGGACGGACAGGACGGTCCCACGGATCACAACCTGTCCATCCCACCTGAGCTTCTCCACCCCTTTAACAACCGGTTCTAAACCGGCTTCAAAATTTAACAACTGGTTCGTGCGAACCGGTGCGAACCGGCTCCAGCTCACCACTGCCTACCACTAATAAATGTTTGTGTGCCCAGCCTATGCATGCTGGTCAGGAGTTTGCAAACAGCCAGTTATAACTACTTGTGTGCAGACTGCAGTCTCAAGAAGCAAGACCTTGCTCTTTATTCTCTTCCGGAGATCAACAAGAAGCAGCTCAAACAAGACAGTAAAGTTCCCCAAAGTGAGAACTGAGAATTGCAAGTAATGTCACTTGTGTAGTAGGGGAAATCTGCTAGACTTTACATATGTGTTTTTCTGCAGAGGCTAGGACCAATGGAATGTGTCCTGTTAGCATTTGGGGAATTAACGGAATATGTACAATGCTGTCTATTTTCACTGAAGAAAATCTTCATTCCAAACTGCTGTTTTGGGCGGCAGGCTGCATGCACCATGTAATAGTAAGTTTTATAAATGTGATGTTTATTTTAAAACCAGAAATGACAGTGCAGGTAGACGTGCTGACACTTGGACTGGGTCATGGTACAAGCTCGGCTCTCTCGGTAGCACCTCAGAGCACCTGGTGCCTCACTGAAATCACCAAGAAGGGAAAAGCTTCTGCTTTGTTCCTGTCAAATTGCAAATCAGGTAGTTACCCTCTGCCCATTGAAGTTTCAGTGGTACACAGAATTCTTCTACATTTCTTTTCCTAAACTGCTGTATACTCTTCACCGTGTGCTATTAAACCAGAGCCGTGATACAGTCCAGAGCTAGCCGCATTTCATTTGTGAGTGACGTGATCTACCGTCTGTACAGCGGTTTTGCTGTCTCTCAGGATGGAAGGAGTTACAAAAATGCCAAGTGTTGATTCTTTAGCAATAATTCTAACTGTATTCACTGTCTGAGCCACCACTTTATAATGAGTTGTAGGGTCATCAATGGGGATTGCACATAGCTGAAGTTTGTACTTTGGTGCTCTGAATCCTAATTGAGTTAAAGGAGTTAGCGAGGGTGGTTGTAGTGTTTTCCCCTTTAGGTTCATCCCCTGGCGGGGAGTAACATGACACACTTTGCCCCTGCACTACACAGGCATGTGTGCAATATTACAAAACACTTTTATTGCAAACGAAGCTCAACAATTAATCAAATGACTCATTTCAATTAACAGAATCAAAATTTTGAACTCGGAAAGCCCATCGGGGAAATAGAGGGCCTAGGAAAAAAAACATCCCCATGACACCCCAAAGGAAAAATATTGGTTTGATCTATTAGCCCTAACAAGTTTTCTCTCTTGGTAAACTATTCTGCAGAGCCTTGGGAGGGATTTTATGTAAATGGTGAAGTCTTTCAAGCGAGCATTGATATTTCAGCCAGTTTTCTTTAAACAAATAATACCTGGAGTGTCACTGGAATTGACCCCAATTAAACTTCAATTAAATGACAATTTATGATTTCATTTTAAATTCCATTTAAGGTAGCTGCACTCAGATATGTTTATTGAAACCAATTCCTAGTTCATTTAATCGGTAAGCGCTGTGGAGATGAGCAAGGTGATGTGGGTCTTCAACGTGCTTGCTTTGTAGCTCTGGACTGTGTCACAAGTCAAATGAGTTTAGCACATGCTCAGCCCAGCATTGCGTGGATGCTGTCCACATCACAATGCTGCTGGAAATGTAAATGGTCAGCCACTGCTCAGCACAGGGACTGCTGCAGTGTAAGGCTGAAGAAAATTGCAGAGCTGGGTGGGAATCCACAACCAGAATATCAATATGGGACAGCAATACTATCTAAGATCAGGGTCCCGTTGTGCTAAACTTTCCACATGCACATATAGTTAGAGATGGTCCCTGTCCTGTATTTATTATAATTTAAATAGACAGACAAACAGCAGCAAGGGAAACAGACATGCCCAAGTTCACACAGCAGGTCACTGGCATCAGAATGCATGTTTCTTGGTTTCCAGTCTAGTAGCTTAGTCCCTGGACCATGCCGCCTCTCTAGCAGGAGATAGCAGAGGGTCTGCAGGACAGGACTGAGGGGAATCATCTATGTTGTTTGGATAGAGGTAGTACTAGACTAGCAGAATGACACTCCTGTTAAACTGCGCCAGCTTGCAATGAAACTTTGCATAATCTCAGAACTCCCCCTGGGTCCAGTTACTGCTGAGGTAGTATTCAGAGGAACTGCCGTGTTAGTCTGTATTCGCAAAAAGAAAAGGAGGACTTGTGGCACCTTAGAGACTAACCAATTTATTTGAGCATGAGCTTTCGTGAGCTACAGCTCACTTCATCAGATGTTTACCGTGGAAACTGCAGCAGACTTTATATACACACAGAGAATATGAAACAATACCTCCTCCCACCCCACTGTCCTGCTGGTAATAGCTTATCTAAAGTGATCAACAGGTGGGACATTTCCAGCACAAATCCAGGTTTTCTCACCCTCCACCCCCCCACCCCCCCCCCCACAAATTCACTCTCCTGCTGGTGCTAGCCCATCCAAAGTGACAACTCTTTACATAATCAAGTCGGGCTATTTCCTGCATAGATCCAGGTTTTCTCACATCCCTCCCACCCCCATACACACACAAACTCACTCTCCTGCTGGTAATAGCTCATCTAAACTGACCACTCTCCAAGTTTAAATCCAAGTTAAACCAGAACATCTGGGGGGGGGGGGGTAGGAAAAACAAGAGGAAACAGGCTACCTTGCATAATGACTTAGCACTCCCAGTCTCTATTTAAGCCTAAATTAATAGTATCCAATTTGCAAATGAATTCCAATTCAGCAGTTTCTGCTGGAGTCTGGATTTGAAGTTTTTTGTTTTAAGATAGGACCTTCATGTCTGTGATTGCATGACCAGAGAGATTGAAGTGTTCTCCGACTGGTTTATGAATGTTATAATTCTTGACATCTGATTTGTGTCCATTTATTCTTTTACGTAGAGACTGTCCAGTTTGACCAATGTACATGGCAGAGGGATTGCTGGCACATGATGGCATATATCACATTGGTGGATGTGCAGGTGAACGGCTCTGATAGTGTGGCTGATGTTATTAGGCCCTGTGATGGTGTCCCCTGAATAGATATGTGGGCACAGTTGGCAACGGGCTTTGTTGCAAGGATAAGTTCCTGGGTTAGTGGTTTGTTGTGTGGTATGTGGTTGTTGGTGAGTATTTGCTTCAGGTTGGGGGCTGTCTGTAGGCAGGACTGGCCTGTCTCCCAAGACTTGTGAGAGTGTTGGGTCATCCTTTAGGATAGGTTGTAGATCCTTAATAATGCGTTGGAGGGTTTTAGTTGGGGCTGAAGGTGACGCTAGTGGCGTTCTGTTATTTTCTTTGTTAGGCCTGTCCTGTGTCCCCAACTTCGCCCCCAACTAAACCTTCCCAACCTTCAGCCCCCAACTAAAACCCCTCCAACGCATTATTAAGGATCTACAACCTATCCTAAAGGATGACCCAACACTCTCACAAGTCTTGGGGACGGCCAGTCCTTGCCTACAGACAGCCCCGCAACCTGAAGCAAATACTCACCAACAACCACATACCACACAACAGAACCACTAACCCAGGAACTTATCCTTGCAACAAAGCCCGTTGCCAACTGTGCCCACATATCTATTCAGGGGACACCATCACAGGGCCTAATAACATCAGCCACACTATCAGAGGCTCGTTCACCTGCACATCCACCAATGTGATATATGCCATCAGTGCCAGCAATGCCCCTCTGCCATGTACATTGGTCAAACTGGACGTCTCTACGTAAAAGAATAAATGGACACAAATCAGAGTCAAGAATTATAACATTCATAAACCAGTCGGAGAACACTCAATCTCTCTGGTCACGCAATCACAGACAGAAGGGTATCTTAAAACAAAAAACTTCAAACCAGACTCCAGCGAGAAACGCTGAATTGGAATTCATTTGCAAATTGGATACTATTAATTTAGGCTAATGAGACTGGGAGTGGCTAGTCATTATGCAAGGAGCCTGTTTCCTCTTGTTTTTTCCTACCCCCCCCAGATGTTCTGTTTACTTGGATTTAAACTGGAGAGTGGAGTTTAGAGAGCTATTACCAGCAGGAAGGAGTTTGTGTGTGTATGGGGGTGGGAGGGATGTGGAAAATGGATCTATGCAGGAATAGGCTTGATTATGTAAAGAGTTGTCCTTTGGATGGGCTAGCACCAGCAGGAGAGTGAATTTGGGGGGGGGGGGGGTGGAGGTGAGAAAACCTGGATTTGTGCTGGAAATGTCCCACCTGTTGATCACTTTAGATAAGCTATTACCAGCAGGACAGTGGGGTGGGAGGAGGTTTGTTTCATATTCTCTGTGTGTATATAAAGTCTGCTGCGTTTCCCGGTATACATCTGATGAAGTGGCTGGTCCGAGCTCATGTCAAAAAATGGTTAGTCTCTAGGGAAAGACTCCTTTTCTTTTTGCTGAGGTAGTAGCCTCTCAATTCTATAGCAACAAACTTCGTGCACAAATCTAGACAAAAATTAATTGTCACTGACTGTTCTGAATGTACTGCCCAGGACAGAGAACCAGCTCTGTGCTCAGTTGCCTAAATAGCATCTTTTTAAAATTTGGAGAGCAGGCAGTAACAGAGAAACGTTATGGCCTCAGCCCTGTTCAAACACCATCAGCCTCAGCTTGCCGCTGCAAAACCATGACTTCAGTGGAGTTAGTCTGGATTTACATTGAGATAAGTGAGAGTAGCATTTGTCCCACTGTGTTTTTGAAGCTTTTATTTATCTGGTTAAACGTCTCCAAGGGAAAATGTATCATACTTGTGTTGGTTCTCAGTGTGAGTCATTCTGGATCATTGGATAAACAATATTGCAATATTTTTATTATTTATGTCAGGCTCACTGACCTGCCATCTATTGGAGGCACTGTATAAATCTTTTCAGACCACAATTTTACAGCTGAAAGACTGACCTAAAGAAAAGAATGCTATCACAGCCAGCAACAGATGGACAGAGGGACAAGAGGAAGGTATTCCAGGAAAAGTGGCTACCACTTTACATACTTTATTAGGGGAGGGAAAAGAGAAGAATTTTAAATAGCAGAAACTAATGCTATAGGTTATGAAATGTGTGACTGTGATTTAGAAATGAGCACCAAGGAGAGGATTGCCGTGTTTTCCAGGTGGACTGCATACATCACTATATTTCATGTGTACTTTCATTTCCTGCTGAACTTGAAGAGTGGCACTTCATTTATACATTGTGCTATACAAATAGAATTTAAAGTGTGATGGTTCTTCTCTAGAAAGTGCCATTGTGGGGCTCAGTGCTGGTCTCTACAATGATCCCATATCAGGCTTGCTCTGTTTAGGTGAAATTCACCTGTGCACAGGGAGTTGGCACAAAAGCCTGTGCACTACCTAAGCTCTGTTTGAGGGCTGCACACATGTGAATTTCACCCATAATGAGTAAAAATGATCAGCCATGCTGCTGAGTTTGCCAGCCCTGCAAACTCATTCTGGGATCTAGCTGTCAAACGGCTCATGCATCTGTATCACAGATTCTGCAAGGCCAAAATCTTCAATGGCCAGGGCTAACTGGGAATGTAATTTAGCTCTGGAATTGGAAATTACTTAGCTGTGTTGCTGAGGATTTTGACCAAGCATAGACTCCAGATCACTCTCCTATATCTCTGTTGGCTCAGCAGTGCTAGCAGGAGTTATTTTTGCCATTGAACACATGAGAAGCAGATCTGTTGAGTAAGAATAGGTCATTTTTACAGGTTCCAGAGTAGCAGCCATGTTAGTCTGTATCCGCAAAAAGAAAAGGAGGACTTGTGGCATCTTAGAGACTAACAAATTAATTTGAGCATAAGCTTTCGTGAGCTACAGCTCACTTCATCAGATGCATTCCGTGGAAAATACAGTGGGGAGATTTATATACACAGAGAACATGATACAATGGGTGTTACCATACACACTGTAACGAGAGTGATCAGTTAAGGTGAGCTATTACCAGCAGGAGAGTGGAGTGGAGGGGGGACATGGGTGGCGGGGGACCATTTGTAGTGATAATCAAGGTGGGCCATTTCCAGCAGTTGACAAGAACATCTGAGGAACAGTGGGGGGTGGGGGTGGGGGGGAATAAACATGGGGAAATAGTTTTACTTTGTGTAATGACCCATCCACTCCCAGTCTTTATTCAAGCCTAAGTTAATAGTATCTAGTTTGCAAATTAATTCCAATTCAGCAGTCTCTCATTGGAGTCTGTTTTTGAAGTTTTTTTGTTGAAGAATTGCCACTTTTAGGTCTGTAATCGAGTGACCAGAGAGATTGAAGTGTTCTCCGACTGGTTTTGGAAATAATAATTTGGTTATAATTCTTGATGTCTGATTTGTGTCCATTTATTCTTTTACATAGAGACTGTCCAGTTTGGCCTATGTACATGGCAGAAAGTAGAATCACACTTAAAGAAAAATTTTGAGCAGTTCTTTAATAGTTTTTAAATAGGGAGCAAGGCCTTTATCTGGTAGAAAGGTCATTTACTAGTCAATACAGTGATTTAACTTCTTTATACATTTAGAAAGGAAAGAAACAACCCGTGTTGTTGACATACGCACGTGGCCAGGTGGGGATTTCTTTTATTAAATATGCTGTACCAAACACTGAGTTGCACATTGTGGTTGAGATATTTTTGAATTGACCTCAGAGGAGTGCAATGTTTGCTTTAGCTTAGCACTTGTAATAAAGTGTAGCTGTAAACAAACACACACACACACACACACACACACCATTTTGTCATCAGTTCCTGGGAACAGCAGCATTTAATCCAAACAAGCATTACCACTTTACCACACTTCATAGGCGCGGGAACTAGGGGTGCAGGGGGGTTTACGCAGGGCCCTGGCCAACGGCGCCGTGCCCCGCTCCTAGGGCTCCGCTTTCAGGGCCCCAGGGCCAGGGCTCTGCTCCCAGGGTCCCGGCTGCCATCCCTGCTTCCAGGGTTCCACTCCTGGCCATATGCCCGCACCCCAGCTGTGGCCCCAGCCACATCCCCATGCCTGCCCCAAGCTGTGGCCCCAGCCATGGCCCCTTACCGCTGTCAGGGTCTCCCCTCCCGGAGACACAGCCCTGCTCCCAGCCCCAGCTCTTGGGAATGTGGTGGGGGCATGGACAGAGATGGGGGGGGCATGAGGTAATAAGTAAAAACTGCTTTCAGTACCCCCACTATTCCAATGTCACTGCCACCCTTGATATGTTCAACAGACTATAACAAAACATGGCAGCTAGTGAATGCTGGGATTGCCATTAACGCCACAGACCACATATGATGAGGTGAAGTAGCAACGAATGTCTTGAAAATGAAGCACAATTATAATAGCAAAGGAGTCTCACCCTGTTTGTGAAGCAAAATTGATTCTGCCCTATCAATCTGTGTAGATTTCTGATGGCATCATAATGCTGCCTAGTTGTCTAATGGATTCTAGCTAGCTGATCCCCAAGGATTTGAGTTAACGCTCATTTTGTTTTGCAAACTGTATCGAGTAGGTATCCTTTACCATTAATCAAAAGCAAACGGAGAGCTAAGCAGTTTAATTAACAATTTAGGAGTTTAGAATGGGGATTTTTTAAACAAAAAATACTCCAAACCAAAAGGGGGTGGTGGTTGTTTTGTTTTGCTTTAAATTGTACCTCTCCTCTGGTTGTCAAAGCAGTTCAAAAATGCCATTTCACAGTCACATCTAGTGCTTTCATTGGTAAATAAATACAATAAAAATAATGCCTTTCATTTATACACTGCAGCTAGAGCTGGATAAAAATATTCAATTGAAACCATTTTTGACCCAAAAAATTTGAGTTTTCAACTAGATGAATTTTTTGTGTGGAAAATATCAGCTTCCCTCCTCTTTATTTTATTACTTTGGAAGACCACATCTCAAGGTCTAAGTGTGATATGTTCAGTGTAGCATGGGCCAGAGCATCTGCCCTAGTCCCCCATCAGTTGGAGAAGCTGTACGGAGGCTTAAAAATCACACATAAATGCTCTACCTTTCTAATCGAAACACAGTAGAACCTCCAGTTTTACAATCACCAATCTTATGAATGACCAATTATATGAGACATTTTTCTGAAAAGGAAAAAAAATCACATAATAAAAGTAACATCAGGAGAGACCAAGTTGACACCCCCTCACATTCCAATGCCTTCAGTGTGCTGGGAATTGCTTTGCCAAGGTTCGACTGTCAAGGAGAAAGCTGCACATGGCACCGTATTGCTACTTGTGCACCAGACCTCCTGTCATTCTGCGATGTTCAATTTATTGAGCTCCACAGTCCCTACCGGGGTTGTACTCTAGGTGGCAATCACCTTTTTGTCTGCTTTCTTCCCAGTTCCTGACTTCATGCTTACATCCTTTTTCACATCACACACCTTTCCAGGGCTTCGTGGGGCCAACCGCAACATTTGCATTCTAGATCCAAATCCATGCTGAGGTCCAGGGTTTTGTGGCAGGCTCATCTCCAGTGCCAAGCTGCTCCGAGACCTTGGGCACAGGGGCATCTGCAGAGAAATCTGTGTTTGCTGTGCTAGCATCTATTTGTCATTTTGAAGATACTAAACTGAAGCTCATTTCTCAAGGATTTCTCCTTGTCAGGTATTTTAGGCTCACACTCTGCCTTTTCTCACCCACACTATTAATATGGGGCTAGGGATTTTTGAATACTGCAGGGTAAACTGTCGAACTCCGGACAATTACTTACAAAGCAATTTCAATGTAAATTATTAAAAGGCCAAGCTAACATCCTGTCGAGGAGTCCTTAAGGCCTAATGTAACCTTATTAAACATTTCTGTTGGTATTAAAGGTTACCTGTATTCAATTTCTGCGCTCTCGTCCTTCTCACTCTCTGGCATGTGTGTGCTGAATAATTAAATGAAGAACCAAAAGACACATTTTGGTGGGGTGGGGGAGTTTTGACCTTCTGTGATTTGCCATTTTTCTTCTTTTAACACTGCAGGAAAGATGCTCGTTGACACTCTTCAATGCCTGTAAGTGGCCTGCAAATAAACAATATTTTTGAAGCTGAATATGCAGTGAACAGAGTTTAATACTTCGAGTGGGTTAACAAACATAGCTGACATTTTTCAGCGTGGCATTAATAAAGCCAGTTTTGTGGGATGCCTTATGCTGTGTGATTAGGGATGAAGGAATCTTTTAAAGGTTCTGAAAGGGAAATGTCCTTAGGAGACGCACACAAAGAAAAGAAAAAAGAAACCTTGATGATGTTTCTCATGCCACTGAAAAGGGGAAGTCTTTGGGAACCGTTGTTTGTTTCATTTTCTTGTTTTCACTCAAATGGTGGAAATTAAAAAACAAGCCAACTTCACTGAGGGCTGAATCTCTCATTAATGCTCTTTGACCTTGTCGTTATCTCAGGCCAGTCTCTCTCTCTCTCTCTCTCTGTCTAGTGGCTTATGCTGACAGTTAAATCTTGCTTACAGTAACTGACAGCTATCGGCAAGGCTGATTGTATTATTATTATTATGTGCTGGCATTTCTAGGGCGCTCGTTCTCATAGTAGCTTGAACTGAGATTTCCAAAGGATTCTGCACTTTGCAAACCCATCCTGCCATCACATGGAAAGGAAGTAGTTTAACTGCTCTCCATGCACAGGGCCCCTTCTTTATGACTGTATTTCTACAAGGACAAGGAAACACTCTGGAAAGAGGGCATGAGCAATTGCTATCGTTAACCTAACAGAACAGTGACAGACTGGCCCTTGCAAATACATTAAAACAGACTATTAATGATTACATGCCAACCAATATGGATTCTGCCTTAGGCAGAGTACTGGAAAGCATGTGACAGGAAGGAAAGGACTGAGATAAGAAAGGGAGCAGGAAAAACAGATACTACAAGGAAAAGATTCTACATTTCAGTATGGATGAGGCCTTTAGTTTAGTTCAGTGAAGATAATCATGCAAATATTTGCTGAGATGTGGCAGTTTTTTATGGTTAAAGGGATCCGAAACTTAAAATTCATGAAAGAAAACCAAAAATGACTAAATAATCTAACAAATGAACATGGCATATATTTTTTTCTACTGCATACAGGTGTCCCATTGTCCTACTGTCTTATGGCAAATTTGACATTCTGATTACCTTGGAACTTCATACATAGATACAGTCTCAAATATGCAACTGAGCTCCAGTCTGAAATAAACTCTCCTGCCCATTCTGTTTGGTGCAGAGGCAATTTAATCATTAACAAGAACACCAAATTAAAGTGGAACACCAATTGCCTTGGGGAAAATGAAATTCCGAGGATTAAATTTTCATCCCAACTAGACTCCAACAGCAAAAAGCATAAAAATTCATGACTAACAGGACTGAGCTCCAGGGAACGTAAATTCGCATTTTAAAAACAAATTCTCATTAAGCAAGTCTTTTCTGCAGGAATATAGTGGCATGTTCTTTCTTGACAGTTTTGTCATATGTCACTTTTTGCTTTAATAGTGGAATAGCCAGTTGTCCATTATCCATTGTGCTCCATGCAGCAGCAGAGTAATACTAAATATCTGGACTATAATACCTAGAGCTGGTCAGGAACTTTTTGACTCAATATTTTTTGGGGACAGGGATGGTGTCCCTAGCCTCTGTTTGCCAGAAGCTAGGAATGGGCGACAGGGGATGGATCACTTGGTGATTCCCTGTTCTGTTCATTCCCTCTGGGGCACCTGGCATTGGCCACTGTCAGAAGACAGGATACTGGGCTGGATGGACTCTTGGTCTGACTCAGTATGGCCGTTCTTATGTTCTTTCATCAGAAAACTACAACTTTTCATGGGAAGTGGTTGGTTTCAAAGAATTTTCCATTTTAAAAAAATGTGGAAAATTTTCAAATTTGTCAAAGTTTACCAAGTGATCCAGATCTCTCTGAAACAATGACCTGTCCCCTTCATTATTTACCACTTCCCCAACTTTTGTGCCATCTGCAAACTTTATCAGTGATGATTTTTATTTTCTTCTAGGT